CATACACACACACACACGTACATACGTATACAGTTGTACTGCGGCAAAACGTGAAAAGCTATGCAGCCCTTCTCTCCGCACGCGTCAGCGGGCATCCGCGCCAATGATGTCTCCGTCTCGGGCTCTCTCCGCCTTCCCTGATCCGCATGTGACGCGCCACTCGCCCACCAAAAGTCGGTCTTCTTGAAAGAAGAAATGCAATCCATGCAAGCAATCCACCTTGGAGGTAAAGAGCTCGGCTTCACTGAAGCAAAGCCCGAACTGCCCAGAACAGACTCGACAAAGGACCTGGGACGACCTGAGCATCGATGGAGCTGAAACTACCGTGTGCTGCATGTAGCCGGCCGGAACAGCAGGCCAGACAAGGTTTCGAGCACCCTCCCGACTTGCAGCAAAGCAATTCTACCGGGGCCAGGAGCCAGGGCTGTAAGCAGGCACAGGCATTCACAGTGTCACAGACGTGCCGGCCTCTGGGTTAGGATGTCGGTGCGCACTCATATGTGCCACCAAGCCGATGCCTGTGTCAGAGCTTCCAGCTTCCAAATTTCCAAATAGGCCAGAGCAGCACTGAAGCGCTGTCCCTTCAGCGCCTCGAGCGTGTGACCAACGCCGTAACGGCCATTACGGCTACCAGTGCCGCAAGTCCAGCGAGCGTCAGCGTGGGCCAGGCTGTTTGTCCCGAGACGTCTGGCGACTGTCCTGAAGTGACAGGACTGTCTAGAGTCTAGAGCCGGACTGGCGTTTTGGTAGGAAACAGCCCTCCAGTTCTTCTGGGGGAGTGTGCACTTCCCTCTAGATGCACCAAAATCATCTTACAAAAGCCAGACATTGGGCGAGTGACGCAAAGACCACTTCTGCTCGGACTTCTCTGGACATCCCAACTTCTCGTGATTGCAGCACCACTCCTGCTTGGCTGGAAACCAGACCTGCGCGGGCGGGCATACCACAGTGGGATAACGCATGTCAGTGACTCCGACCGAAAACTTTGAGGGCAGATGTGGGCAGTGCTGAAGTGAAGTCATGTGGCCATCTGCCACATGTCCAGGCCCTCGTGACAATTGAATGGCTTGCCAGCCACCGCTTTCTCGTGGTGCGCGTGCTGGTGAGTGGTCGGAGTCGGAGTCGTTGTCTGCACCTCAAGTAGTAAAGCTCTCCTGGAACCTATTATTCACTTCAGTGGAGCAAGTGTTTGAATTAGTAGCTTGCTTGGGGATATAGTGTCCGGCCCGAGAGGTCAGGATGAACACGAATATGAACAGCACCGCGGACCTCCTGTCAGCGCTGGGGCCGCGGCATTTGCAGCGCCGAGACAGGCCTGACCTGTACATCAAAACTCTGTTCGGCCACGATGCGAAGAAGATCTGAAGCCTTGTATGTAGTGCAGTCAAGCTGCTGACGCTGCACATATCGCACAGACCCTGGCACTCGCGCAGCACGAGTTCGTGCGCAAGTTGGCACGCAGATACCTCGCCTGAAGGTCTCAAACAAGCCGTGACAACATGATGTTCCACGACGGCAGTGCAAACATCAGGCAGCCCCCGAGGAGATGGGAGACGCCAACAGTATATAAGCTTTGCTGACTGCTGTCAAGCAACCGAGAAACGTGTGCACAGAAGCAAAATGAATTCTCTCCTCACAGGTCACCTGAACGGGATGTCGCGCAAATCTCGTGAGTTTCAAGTTCACTGACGGAGGAGCAACCACCTTCACGTTTTGCAGGGTACAGAACTTTTTGCAGCCCGGGAATGTCGTGGTCATGGTTGAAGTCCTCCAGAGAATTGAAATCGAAAACCTGGAGCATAACCTCTCTCAGGCCTCAGGTTGGCAAGCTGCACTTGCTGGAGATCTGCATTCATCCGTGTCCTCGTAGTGGTTTCTGTGATGGTGGTAGGTGGGCAGCCGCGATTCGTTTTCTGGCAACACCAGATCCTGTGCAGCATCGTGACCCCTCCAAAGCTGCAGATCCCGCACCCTCATCAGATTCAAACGATGCGTAGATTTCTAGAGAAGCTGGAAAAGAAGCATCCGCAGTCCCCGCACAGCGGTAGCACTCCCCATGAGCTGTGCTATGCCAAGGGGCTTCTTGCCCTCAGACCAGCCGTGGACCCAGTTCATGTAACCCGACTCGCAGTCAAACCTCTCTCTGCAGCCAGTAGAATCTAGCAGACCCACAAAAGAAGCAGACAACCTGAAGTCCTACACCGAACTCTGCATTGACAAAGCAGGCAGCGCGTTGTCAGGGCAACCCAGGCCAAATTTTGCACAGCAATGTGCTTGTTTCCTGGGCGACAGAAGGTGCAGGCGAGGTTCTGCCACGCGGCATCTCTCAAGCAAGATGTTGAATCGAGCTTTAGACTTGAGAAGACACTTCGACAAGTTTGCGAACTCAACCTGCTGCACACCGGCACTCACATTTCCATCCTGCCATGCAATCATACACAACGTAAACGAACAAAACAACTCGGAAAGGATATTTTGCGAATGTGTTCAGCTTGGCATCTCAATGTCCCAGTACATCCTCACCTGGCACGAGCGATGGGTTTACAGCAAAGTGGCGAACACCGATCGCACAGCGACACAGAGCTCGAGAAGTGCAGCTGAAGCTTGGCTTCGTGCATCTTCGAGTCCCTCGTTGCAGTCGTAGCGCGTGTCCCCATCTTCGACCACTGCCTGAAATCCGAGGAGGGAGTGGAAGTCACTTCAAGGAAACTCTGCAGTGCGCGGCCTCTGTCATGTCAAGCCGTCGGGCTTGATCTGCTTCTGGCCGACATCCCAAGCTATGCACCAGGCAGCACCAAACCTGACCAGGAGCCACACCCACACTGCCGGCTCAGATCTTCAGGACACCTTCTCCTCTTCGAGATGGACACCGGCTTGACAGGACTCCTCGGAAATCTCTGCAGCCTCGGGATCGATTGCGAAGCCGGGAACCTGCGTGAAAGCGTGAAATGGCAGCCTTTACACATGGAGCCGTACTGACAAGTGGCCGTGCGAACCAACAGCAGCACCCAGAGCCAAATCTGGTGCATGGCCTGGGATTTGGCAGAATGCATGCATTAGCAAGCCCTGACGCCCCAAGTATGCCTGAGCAGCAAAGCCAGTCGAGCTACTCGTGAAATAGCCGACTGCATGGCCACTTTCGGAGGCTTTTGCAAGGCGGCACTCGACTCAAGAAGTATGCTCGCAAGGAAGCAGCGACAGACCCGTTCCCGACAGTAAGACTGACAAGATGCGTTTTGGACTGACCTGGGACGCCTAGGAGGTCAGGAACTCCGTGCCTCCAGGTGCTCGAGGCGCCCCGACTGCCCTGACCCCCGCTTGAGCACCCAGGGCTGCCAAACTTCTTTTAAGTGCAGTAGAGTATAACATGCAGTGGTTACTAGGACCTCATAGGCCTCATATCGTTGAAAGCTTCCGAAAACGATGCAGTGGGTTCCTCTGTTCAGTTCATACAATCAACACATGCGCTTTTGCCAGACTCGCAAACAGGCATGCCCTTCGGCAAATCCACCTAGGCTTGACTAACCCCGTCAGCCAAGTGGCACCGAGGCATCTTTGCAAGACCTACCAGGCCTGAACCGGAGCAATGTGTAACAAGCATTGCATACGTTCATATGCAAAACTCGTTGTGGTGGACTACAAGATCTGACACTTTTCCTGTTCCAACTGTTAGAACATAGCATAACACAGCATAGCTCGTTAGTTAAAGCACGATGAAACGAGAAGACAGAGAAAAGCCATGTCACAAAGCCCCGCAAGCTCCCATAGCTTGTTGACCGCGTGCATGTGTGAGCTCGGCCGGAAGCAGAGCTCTGATAAGTTGCTAGCAAACAGCAAGTGAAGGCGGGATACCGACGGACCCTCCTGCCGGCAGTCGAGGCTCTTAATTCTTCCAAACTTTGTTGAGACATTCAAAAGGCTCTTGTGCCTCTAGGTGAAGACCTGCTGAAAACATCGCACTGTACATGATGAGGCTAGGTCAGCATCAAGGAGAGCTGCATAAAGAGGTTCATGTGGGCGCAGAAGGTAACGGATTGTTGGGCTCGTCAGAGGAAGTGAGCGGACAATCCTAAGATTTCACTCTGCAGAGCATCTTGCCCCCAGAGAGTATCTACTCACCTCATTGAAATGATTGCCAGGCTGGCCTGTAGAAGTGGATGCTGGAAGAGCGATGGGAGTTGCGGAGTAATCTGCGCGGCAGCTGCAATCACTTCTGCGGGTGTGTCGCCCATCCTCGAGCAAAAGCAGTTGGAACAGCGTAGGCAGCGGTGCGCTCGGAACATGATCTTGAGCCGTGCAAAACTCCCAATGGCGAACCTGTGCAAGATCTACTTCTAGAATCTGAAACTGCCACCTTCGAGACTTACTGCTGTGTATAAACCAACATCTTGCCCAAACTGAGGCGCTTTAGCATCAGCGGATGGCCAGCCAGTCCTCACATGAGTGCAGCGTGCATAAGAAGGCCGCAACTGACGTGCGACTTACAGGCCTCACCGCGTGAACCCTTGATGGCCGTACATGTGGTGCTTTCCTCTAGTAGTGCCTGATGAAGTGGACCACCAGGGCAGAAGCTTTGTTGCCACCGCAATCGAAACCGCACTCCTTTAGCTCATACTCCATGTTCAGAAGTTTAGCACCTCTAAATAGGGTACGAGTTGTTCTATCATATCTTTGTGCCAGGGCTCGCTGCAAGAATTCACGGCGGCGCCCGGCCAGGGCCAGTGGCAATTCACCCGTCGTCCCGCCTCAGCTGCGGAAGCAACTGCGCGCTGCGATGATACATGGCCTCTTCATGTACAGGACTCGCAAGTGGAAGCTCGACGTGCTGCATCCAATCCTGCAATAGGTCGGGATCTACATAGCCTGAATATCACCCAGTTGCGGACGGATGGTCCATCAAGATCCCGTGGGTATAACGGACGGTGGGAACGCCGCGCGAGCAGCAAGCAGGCGTCCTGGTGCGCAACCCGGCAACCGCAGAGCGACAGGAGCCCGCAGGAATTGAAGGGCTAGGAAGCCTCAAAGCTAGTGCCAACGTGAAAGCAAGACACACATCTCGTGCGGAAGGTTCGACAGTCATTGCAGATCTCGTGTCGTCCCAACTCGGGAGGCTTTCAGCTATTTTCGGCTGTCACAGCTCTGTCATGCCGGTTGCGGGATGCTGCGATGAAAGGCGCTGGAAAAGGAACAAGCCTTTAAGTTCGCTGAATGTTATGACCGCTGCTGTCACTTTCGGAAAGATAAACCCTCGCCGCAATGATTCCAGGACCGGGACCAAGACAGAGTGTAAAGGACCGGTGATAAAGAAAGATGTGACCGTGTGACAGGCACTGTGTCCACGAGATTCAACCATGGCGCAAAATTCGAATCGCATAAACCTGGGAATGTATGTATGAACATATACAGATGTCATGTACACATAGCATGTGTGTGCCCATGCCTATGCTTGAAATTAATACGTATCTAGCCATAAACATAAACATAAAACAAGACATGAGTAAAAATATAAATATAAATGTCCCGCGAATCTGGATGGCTGTACCATGATGACAACAAAGCTAGCCATCAAAGTGAGACCCGAGCATAAAGAGATCATACAATTGAACTCCTACCAGTATGTCTTGACCCTGCTCGGCTCCAACTCTCTTTCATTACCTGGAGCTCGCTCCCCTACCAGGGCTTGGATTTTCGAGGCCGCTTCTTGGAATTGTTGGGGTGAGCTTCTTCTGCCTGTGCTCTCAACTGAAGAGCCGCACATCAGGGATGTGTGTCAAAGTGAACACTTCGCAAAGACTCCCTTGCAGAAGTATGTATGCATGCATGTATGCATATTCATTTGTGTACCTATTGGTTTAGCTGTCTTGTACAGTACTTCTTTATGTTTCCGATTTTTTTGCTTTCAAATTTACATGTTTTATCTATTTATTTAGAATCCCCCTTTGGCCGAGAGCCTGCAGCTGCTATACAGAGCCTATGGATCGAATAAGGCAGCCCAGTGTAGGCAACGTGCGCCTCTGTCTCATCTACGTCTGCTTCTGCTCTCTGCAGTAAATGCAACACCTTCTTTCACCTAACTGACAAATACTGGCACAGCCATGACGCAGCAGACGCACTTGAAATGTAGGTGGCAACGGCTTCCTGGCACAATAATGGTGTAGCATTCTATGCAACCTAAATGACGTAAGTTTATACCTACAAGCACTCAAAATAGCAAAAAGTAAGTACCGAGTGATGGGGGCAGCATTTATGTCTATGCGTGTGTATGTCTGTCTGTCTGTCTGTCGGTCTGCCTGTCTGGCCGGCTGGCTGTCTGTCTGTGTCTGTACGTAAGCATTTATGTATCTATGTATCTACATGTCTGTGTATCTGTCTATACACCTAGCTATGTATGTATGTATGTATGTATGTATGTATGTATGTATGCATGTATGTGTGTATGTATGCATGTATGTAGGTATGTATGTATGTATGTGTGGGTGCATCTGTATCTATATCTATATCTAAATCTGTATCTATATCCGTATCTATATCTATATCTATCTATCTATATATCTATCTATCTATCTATCTATCTATGTATGTCATGTCCAAGATGCTGGTCGTATTGCTGCTATAACTGCTACAGGACGCCGTGTGCCAAAGGTGTGGGTGCAAAGCCGCAAAGGAGCACCACAGGCCTCGCGACCCAGTGGCGGAAGCTCCACCGCAACAACCTGATTCAACCCGGGAGCCGACCTCCGACATCACCAATATTCAGAAGGACGGCAGCAGCCTGCCTTTCCGGAGAGCGGTGCATCATACCGCGGGCACTGGGAGGCGAGGAGGACGCGCAGCCCAGGACTCTCCACGAGAGTCTGACGGCATCAGGGCTTCTTCCGAGTGGGGGGAACTTCAGCAGCTTTAGACCAGAAGCTCCACCAAGCGCACGTCAAACCCCTCAGGCGTGACTTCTGCACTCTGCAGCATCCATGGGCCGACCTCTTCCAGGAAAGCCCACAACTCAGCTGCAGCCGGATTGGAAGATCCAAAGCTCTTCTCAACTCCGTCGAGAGCTAGAAAGAGGCAACGGTTTCCTGAAGGGCAAAAAGTCTTGCATGCGACGGCAACATATCTTGATTTTGAGAAGTGGCCTTGCAAATACGGTTTTGCATCAATTGGACCCTGTCCCAAGAAGCGCGCCTGCCAGAGTTTCACGGAGCTTGGCCACTGCAGCCGTGGGATCGAGCCCTGACCTGCACGGGCGTGCACACCGTTTCATATCAGTCAAGTGCCACCGACATCTGTGGACAGGAAGTAAGGATGCGACAGGCGCAGCCGCACTGCCCCGCATTTCAACGCAGCGCAGCCACCAGCAGCCGCCTCTGCCTGTGGCCCATGCCCCGTATCCAGTAAAGCACTACAAAACGCACTTGCAACGGCTGGACATGGTTGCACGCCTCGGAGGGAAGTTCTCGGTTGCGGCAAAGCCGCAGAGCACTGGGCGAGAAGAGCCTTCTTTTAGATACATTACTGAGTTGATTACTGTCATTACCGTGACGAAGCTCCGTTGGTGTGGGCTTAGAAGTGGCAGTGCCTGTCCCCCGGCAGCGAATAGAAGCGGCAGAATTCGGAGATGAAAGCAGACTTGCCGATGCCAGCCTGCAGGTACGTCGCGAATGGCGGCAAGGTCTGTAAACAAATGGTGTGGTGCCTTGCCGTGAAGCCAGACAACCCGACGATGACCCAAGAAAGCATTGGCCACGGCTGCCATGGTGGAACCTTGAGTCACCCATGAAGATGCTCGGGACACGTGCAGGACACGTGGGGACGGTCTTCTGCACCTCGTCCCACAAAATCTTCCACAGGTGGAGGAACGTCGTGTGCATCCAACCTGCAAGCGTAGGAGGCTTGGCAGTCACAAGATGTCACAAGGCTTCGCAAGGCTTCGCAAGGTGCCCAGCCCGGTGAAGCGCGGCAGAGTCAGCGCCAAGCGGGGCAGCTGCACATCGGGGCCGGGCGCGAGCTTGGTCGGAAAGAACCGGAAGTGCTCGGCCTTGCACCGCCAACGCAGTCATCCGTCCTTTGCTCTCGACTCTCGGCTCACTCCACGCCGCTCGGCGCCTCCGAACGCAGCCCGGGCTGAGGCGACAAGCGCACGGCGCGCTGCGCCGCGGCGAAGGAGGCACGGGCCAATGCGGTGACCTCAGCTTCGCACGAGACGAAGATGTTCAAACCGGAGAGACTGGCCCGGCATGATGATGCCGAGTCACAGGGTATGCTGACTTGGGAAGCGCAGCAGCCAGCGACCGCAAGAAGATACCTCATCATGCCGACTCTTTGCCGAGAAAGCCCTTCAACGACATGTATGTTTCACGGAGAACAACTCATAATGACTCATATTGTCGTTGCTCCGCAGGCACGAAGAAATTCGCGGGCCGCGGCATCAAACACTTCGCCTGCAGCAGCTCTGGCACTGATACTCACCGAAACATACGAAATCTTGTTCCTCAGGCACTTGCCCGAGCAAGCGACAGCACAGCTGGCGCCGGAGGCGACGAAGCGCTGCGCCAGCGACCTCAACTACCCCTGAAGTGGAATACTTCACACCTGAAGCAAAAATCTCAGGCCTGCCGCTCCTGCCCCTACAACCCGCACACGCCATGGATCATCTACGGCTGCAAATCCTTTCAATTCCGCCCAAGTTGCTCAGAATGACACGCATCAACTACCACGACGTCGAAATTGTCTGCTGGAGTGCCTGAACTTGTGCTGTTTTGCTTTCCTCTTTTGATTTTTTCGGTGGGCTGCAGGAGGCGGGTTTCAGTGGCTCTTCCGTTCTTAACTGCCGGGCGGGGGGGGGGGGGAGGCAACCGAGTT